GTGAGCAATGCACTTCTTGTCTGGGCTTTCATGGTTTGTGGTGAACACAATAGTGGAGCTCTGTTTAGTTGCGAGAGACTCTAACCTACACATGCCAACATACTCGGAAGATTGCATCTATTTCAATCTCGGCCCAGAAGTTGCCTTGTACACTAGCAAAATCAAATACTCACAATCCCCGACTTGCACAGTTTTGAGATATTTTTATCTCTTCCCCTAATGAACACATCATCATCAACGCATCGTTTACATAATCCTACATGAGCTTAGTGAATCTACCGGGTCTGACGATCTTGTAGCCGCAGTAGTCAAGGAGAAGTATGCTGGTTGGATGAGAGGTTGAGGTGGATGAGTAGGACCGGACCATTGATGGACAAAAGATGATTGGCTCTCCACAAAAAGTCGGATAAAACTCCGTTGCCGTTCGAGTGAGCAACGTGGTTTGGTAAGGAATTGATCAGCTCGGCGGGGTGAATGGAACAAGTCGCCTGACAGATTCATCCGAACTTCGAGAGGCTCCGATCTCTTCCCTAATAGTTTCATGCAAGTGAAAGGTCCAAACTTTAGGGGCTGTAGTTTCGGCGCCCGCTAATAATGTTAGGAGCTCGGCTTATGCGACAGGGGTGGATAAGTCTAGAAGCATCTAATTTGGTGAGCCGCTAACACCGGTATTATCTTGATGGCGCTTAATTCATGGCCGCCGACGCCGCATCGCGCAAACATCGTTTGTGGCCTACTTCCCCATCCTTCAATTCCTTCCCCCAAACATGACAGCTTCCGCTGCAGGTAGGTCGAAGCAATGTTTGACGTATCAGCGCAAGCACTGCCGGTCGTCCTGCAGACTGGCATTTGCTTTGGCGACAGCAAGACACTACTTACTCGTCTATCCATGTCGAGCATGGCGTGCAAGGTTACGAGCTTCATCTGCCTAATGAGAGACTCGGCCGGTCGATGCGAGGAGATGGGAAGTTGTCAAGAAGACTGCTTGTAGATATCGCAGAGACACGCCCATCAAGCCATGGCTCAGACATGTCCGATGTAGTCGTGAACCGAGAAGGGAAAATAATCATTATTAAAAATAGGCCATGGCTCACAATTCTCCGTTATTTATGTGCAGGAGGCCAGCGGATCTGTCCGAATACCTGTGCACGAAGAGGCCGTAGATCAAGGCGACGGAAGCAGCTGCATAAGGAGAACCATAGTGATTATTACTGTAGTCAGAAGTCGCTGACAGCTAGTTGGATTAAATAGAAAGAGTAATTTCTACATTTGTCAAACGGCGCACGTATCACAAAACCCAAGCTTTTCCATCGCGAGTTTCTTATCTCTAGTCGGACGCTCGGAGTTGGAAATCTAATATCAGGGTCTCTAATTTTGATTCCCAAGCACTATTAGATCTCTGTACTTTACCATGAAAACTAGACTGCAAACCATGGGACATTAAGATGAGTAACAGTAATAAACTGCAAACCCGCTAGAAAGGATTTAAGCGTCGGTTCATCATCTTGCCGTGAATATGCCTAATAAGCGCACAGCCGCGTAGTGTCATATCAAACCTACATGATGACCAATGTGGCAGTGAGTTGAAAAGGTAATAGCATGCGTCATCCCCGAGAAAAAACAGGGTCAGGCGGCTCGCATTCTGGTGGGCTCAACATCCGACGGCAGACACTATACTCCCTGGCGTAATGTCGTAAACAATTTAGCGGCCCTCTACGTACGGCTAAAAGGGAGTGGAGCTTATGACGCCCAGCACACATTGAGAATCATGCGCTTTGAACTATTTTCCTTCAGTACTTGGTGCGTCGCTAGGCGAGTGACAGCAAGAGCAGGCTTCGAAACCTAATTTACAGCAATAAGCCTTGGTAATTTTAATTCTACGAGTCGTCTAATTATTCATGCCTTCTACTGGCCTGTACATTCATGGGCCATTCAGTACAAGCTTCAACGGGAACCATATAGATCCTTGGCCTAGGAATGCAAGTTGAATGAGATGCTACAACTTCCGAGTAGAGGTTTGCATCGGCTCTCACTGGGAACTTGGACCCTGCTCTACATTTGTTCCGTGTTAGGTACTTACTCCCCTCAGGAATAGTGAGCTGAAGCAACGAGAAAAGAGTAGGCACGTGTAATTGCACAGATTGTATTGAATTGAAAACAAATCATTTCTGGGGCCGTTTTGTTTACAAGCGTCATGTTTGCTGTAAATTAAGTGTAGTATTATCATGCCTATTTTGAGGAGCGTCGCAAAGTAAAGACATTTCTCGTGTCTTGTAAAGTTTTGCGTCATCGTGTTTGATTTAAACGCGTCTGCTGAAGCCTCGAGATCAATTTCATTGTGAAGAGACAATGTGCAAAGAATTGTTTCAATTTGGAATAGTATTTTGTGGATTGTGATCTGTGGTCCAGAACATCAAGGCGGTAGCAGGGTTAACCCATGGTTCCATATCTTGGAACTTTGTCCAATTGTATGGTCTCATTTCATCATTCGCAACAAAGTACGCCTCTAGTCCTAGAAAGTCGTGTTAGTGACGAATCGAGAGAGTACTTGGATGTGCCACATTGATTTCATGTAAATAAATAAAATATTCATGAACACGAGGTTATTCGAGTAGACGCAACTAAGCATGGAATAATATATGTCTCGCAGTTTCTAGAAAGCAAGCGACTGCGTTTCAAGAAACTGGGATTTGTGGCGCCACCAATCTTCTCGTGGGTTGAATCGTATGTGGGGTTGAAATGGCAGGATTGGTTGCCAGACTCGCCATGTGAAGTTTGACGTTAGGTGAGCGACGATTCCTAACCCAAGCTCGGACTGCAGGTTCGATTGCCTCTCTAGGTCAAAGGCCGAGCCTCTAGTGGCGTGTCAGGACGCTTCTAAATTGTTTCCTGTCGTAAAGATGGAGATAAGTTTGATTAATATGGAGTTGTTTGTGTTCCTAGTCGCGCCTCAGATGCGTGCGGTTGATACACACTGCTAATGACAGATTCGTCATTGCGTACGTAACTAAGCGGCTTGAAACAGAAATTAGTCCATCGTTGACATGTCCGCGTGACTCGGTCGTCGAGTTGTGGAAGGGAAGGTCTGAGGCGGAAAGGAGTAGAGGCGACGTGAGCCAGCCTCGTCCGCTGCGGAATTGGCTAGCGAAATCGTTAGCTGCAACGTCGCCTGTCCCTCGTTGCTCGTTGCTCATGAAAAGCGGGATACCTTTGTAGAATTTGCTCTAGTAAAACATGCCCATCTAGTGCACACGACCAGGCTTTCAAGAAAAATTCTACAATTTGCTCTCACTAAGCAACCGTTGGCTAGTGAGATCAGCCAAACGACGGCTCAAGTGGTCGTCCACAATTTCCTCTGACTTGGGTGTCTGGCATTCCAGCCGGCTCGACGTAATTATGGGCTGCCTAAGGATTTATGGACTGTGCAGATTCTAATTTATGCAAGGTGGTTGATGTTGACTCGCTCCACCACCCTCGCGCATGGGCCGCTGATCTAGGAACAGCGAAAGCACATGGATCTGGTCTGGAGCGGTTAGTGTCGAGGTCGAGCATTGCCCTAAATCCATAGCTGCACCAGCAATGTATTGGAGTAGTAGTGTTAATCACAACTACTGGGATATCCTTCACGTAACCTGACACCACCGGTTTATCGTGCGCCGGTGCTTCACCCTCCGCCTGAGGTCAGGCGAAATGATACAAGTCTGGAGATGGAGTTGCTAGGATACGAATGATATTTTACAATGGATTGGCTCCATCACACTGTTCATGCTAGCCAATTTACACAAGCTCTAATTCTACACAACAATTGCTATAATGGCAACCACCAGTCCTGCAATTACCATAAGTGTGTCGCAGGCTCACCTACCCCTGACTTCCACTGAGAGGAACGGTCGTCTCTGTATCATAGGTTAGAGTGAGTCTGACTGGCTAGTGCGTAACACTTGCCGCTGCTCTCCCTGGATCCTAGCGCTAAAGACGATGTTGTTGTTTTTACTTCGCGTTGTGTGTGAGCTATTCGAGTGCCCCCTCCCCTCCCCAGTCCGGCTGCCAAAACTTCCGACCCCCCTGGGTTCTACGTCTTAGAATGGCATGAATTTGCCTGATGACCTCCTGCCCTTTAAGTCTACTCCTCCCTTTCTCGGTGCGCAACATACAAACAACCCACTCTGACGCTTTCCTTCTTTCGTCCTAGCCTCATATTTCATCGCACATCCCCCCTTCCAATATACATTTGTGATCAATTTCCCTCCAAAACGCCTCACTGTGATAGTGTACATCCACAAATCAAACTCACACCCCCTTCTCTTATCTATCTTTCATTGTGACTCTTTGTCTTGCATTTAGGAATATCCTAAAGAACTGTTTGCGCACCCAGAAAAAGAGGTGTCGTTACCTTTCGACTACAATCAACGTCGAATTCCACCACACCACACCTTCAATCCGAGATTGATTGGCCTCACTCTACACTAGTCACACGCTTCCATCCACACGAACTACAGCTATTCTTCGGTTGGTCCCCCTTATTCAAGGCAAGTTACCTCCTCCACAGACAATCCTTTATCATCAGGTCACTACGCGCAAGATTTCCAGTCAAATTTTCGTCGCGTACATCTAGGGCTGCTTAGCAACTATAAATACCTTTCACAGCAATGTCATCTCAACATTCCACTAATTCAAACGTATTTATCCTACTACAAAATTATAACTTAAATACCGATCCAGAAATCGCGCTAACTAACTCATCCTACAGTTTATATTTATTTTCTATTCAAATTTCTATCAAGCTTGGCTCTTTGATTCTAGGCACTTGTATAACTCTTCGATATCACGACTACCATTACGATATTAATTCTAATAATCACGTCGACACAACATTTGTAGAGTCCCAGAAAAGACTGGCCCTTCTCTCTCTCTCTCTCTCCGTTCGAGGCAAAACCAACTTGAATCGATAAGATCAATCATCAGCTGCTCATATAAATTAGAAAACATCTCTTTCGAGAATGGACACTGGAGGTCTTGCTCAAATGTCTTCCTACAATAGTCTAGCTTCAAGTAATGGTCTGGGACTGCCTCAGTCGGGCTTCACTTCTAGGCGAGGATCCAACATCAAAAGCCTCACATTTGATCAATCAGCTGTACTGTCATCTAGTCGTGAAAATGGCGCTCCCACCCCTCGAACCTCTCGATCACACCTACTAGCAGGCTTGAGAACTGCCCCCAGAGGTGCTTCGTCCAATCAGGTTCCCTCAACAGCGCCTCCCACTCAGCTCGAGCACAACCATGAGCCAAAGTACAGCTACTTTGCTTCTAACGTTAACTATAGTGGCCCAAAGACCTCTAACTTGAAAAACTCTCAATACATGCCAGGAATCATGAAAGGGCAAATTTATCCTGCCCCGGATCAGATACTAGCTCCACCAGCTATACAGCTTGATGAAACCAATCACGAACAGATGGATGCAAATTATTATGCCCAACTCGTTGCTACTAATCTTTACCTCGCGGAACAGCAGCAGCGGCTACAACAACAGCTCATTAATGTACAAGCTGCTGCACAGCAATTTCAGGGTATGAATTTGGTCTCACAGCAATACTCCAGTCCTCCAATAACTCCACAAAGTCTGTATCAGCAACAAGTCAAGAATAGCATGCAACAGGCAGCTGCTCAAGGCATAGGGTCACCAATGTTACAATACCAGAACTACAACGCTCTGAATAATCAGCAGGCATACATGCAACTAGAGCAGCAAGGCTCTTTATATGAATTCCAAAGAAATGCCCAGCAATCTCTCGCTCAATCTCCGCTGGTCAAAGGTGGTATTCCAGCGAGATTCAGAGGAACAGCGGCTCCAGTAGACTCTCCTACATTCTCTCGCAGCATCAGCCCTCCGAGAAAGATACAGTCTCCTGCATTGGATCACGCACCTCTTCCACCTCCTTCTGCTGGCGCATTCCGTCGAGGTCACCGAAAAGCGCCATCCTCACTAGCATTCTGCATTGAGGATGCCACCATAGATTCGCCACGAACTGCTCTCGCCAAGAACCCTGGATTAGCTTCTGCTGGCATGTCAGGCCCAGGGCAAGGCCGAGCCGGAGAACACCCAATCCGCCAACCTAGAGGACCACCACCTCTCGACGAACTTTTATCAAAGCCAACCACGAAATTTGAGGGAAGTAAGAATTTCTCTACACGAACACGTCGAAGCGCAGTTCACAATCTCGTTCGTGCCGGAATCGAACGACGTAGGGCTCCTGGCGGCACTGACTCTGGCAGCATGTCGCCTGTCTCTGAGATTGGAGATGTAACCTTGTCAGTCACTGATAATGATTCGGATAGTGGGCACAGCGGAAGCGGAAGCTTGAAAAGCCGTCCAGCTCCCGGAAGTCCCCGAACCTCTATTCACGGTGCGATTGGTTCTAACCGTCCCATATCACGGCAGAAAGATCACTCTCTAGATCGGAAGTCTGTGGCCTCGCAAGTCAGTAACTACACTTCTGTCACCGTAAGTAGTGACGAAGGTAATCTGATTGGTGGGAATTTCGCCGCTGTATTAAAGAACGATGTAAAGAAAGCCGAGACCGATAAGAAGGCGCCAAAGCTTATTTTCACTCCTGCCGACCATGTCAAGGTCAATTATTAATAACCAAGTTTGACACGGTGTATTAAAGGGTTGATCCCTCTAAACTTTTTCATCCCCCCTATCTATTAATTTTTACATAGCACCAAGCTGCAATTTAATATGCAGTTGGTCTTCACATTTTTATGATAACGATGAAATTACCGAGTTTCCTAATTTGAAAATTTTAACTGCATCCACCGTACAACTCAGCACGAAAACAAAGTTCCAATCGAATTTTGGCTTTAATTCCGCTTGACATAGATTTGAGCGATAGGGTCCGCTGTGTTAGTGCTATAGATATCTGGGATCTTCATATAGGAGCCAGATAAAGATTGAAGAAATACTCATGAATCCAGGCGTGCGCAATATCTTAGCCTGGATGCGAGATAAGAGGGTGTGATGCGGAAAATTATTCGGGTGTTTGGTGTCAGCATTATGGATGCAATTCGTGGGGAAAAATCGGGAGACGTATTAAATTTCGCATAGCTCAGAACATATCTTGTCTGAAGTTGTCTCCCATTTGCCATTTGCCCATGTAACTATTGACTCCCCTCTTAAAATGAACAAATTTTGCCTCTGAGTGAACTTCAAGGATCATTGCGCGACTTGCATGAAAGAGAAGCTCAATTCTTGAGTGTTTAGAACTAGCAAGGAATGCTCCAGCTGAAGCTTTCAACTAGTGTCACTGACACTCCCATCAACTCATTTTAATCCTGTAGCCGATTGGCGCACCCCACTGCCTAACCCATAATTAGTACAACAAACTATCTGTAATCACATGATAATCACCGGATCTTTGTGTGCATGATTCCACTAGTGTGCTGTACAAACGTATAGGTAGCTCATGTATTCACTCCGGGCTCATTAGACAGATGTATGCACTCATTTCGATAGGAGTTATGGATGACATTTCCCGGAACAACACAAGGCCGACTAACTCCATCTTGCTTTAGAACTAAATGTTTGCTTCCATACCAACACTGTAGATTAACGTGGAGACCAGCACGCAACGTACGAGGCTATGAATGCATCCCTATTTTCCAGCAGGTAGATGAATTACATGCCTACTTTCGAAGAGGTGATCAAGATTGTCACAAAGTGTGGTGTGGAGAATATATAACTACAGGTCTGAAATCATCTGCTGGCCAAGACATTAGGATGAGGCATATCAATGCTGATTCAGATGAAGTTAATGCAGGTTTACGGCAGTGGGTGAACGCGAAGCTAAGGGCTTCTTTTTCTGTCCATTGAGGAAAACGAAAACTCAGTACCTGATAGCCGTGTCCCCCACGGACCTCCAGCTCTCAGCGTAGGAGTCTCTAGAGCCGAGATTGAGTATCACCTTCGTCTTCTCTTTGATGGGGATTCCCGAACACTTTCAAAATCTATATCACCTTCATCTCTCAGCAAAACCCCCTAGCATCTTTGTCAAGGTAGAGCATAAGCCTCACGATTAAGTAGCATACAATTGAAGTATTTCTATTGAAAATTTAGCCAATAAGACAAGGAGCTCATTAGTTAGACCTTTAGATAGTAGTCTTTTACAGTCTAGGACTCAGTAAAGACTCAATTTTAAAACAATAAAAGCATCATCATGAATCCAACTGCGACCCGATCGGATGGTAGGGTCGGAACGTACCCAGCCCCTGATATGACAATGGTGGATTGGATCAAGTTGGCCTGTAATATTAAGAGGAAAGCAGGCAACACCGCAAATACAAGCCAGCGGTGGTGAACTCTCGTATAGTTTGAGTAACCCAGGCACCTACTCCACCTGTGAGGCAGAAGCATGAGATGATGTTCTGCGTGGAGACTAGCCCATGGATGACTCTAGGTTTTTGCGAGCTTTTCCCGACGGCGTATCTTGCATCGTTTATCGGTGGAAGCGTCTAGCGAAAGGGATGCTGGTTCTTAGCGGCAGTTCCTGGATTGCGCGCAGACAGCTTTCTGACGTATTGGATTAATTTTTTTCGTGGCACGGGTGTGTGGGCGCACGCTGCGCAGGGTTTGGCCGTGGTCGGAGGGGAGTCCACTGCGCCAAATAGCCCTCGATTCACGTGGGCCACTAAAGCTCAAGCCAGCAATCCCTTCTAAGATCCGCCGTCGAAATGTAGCATAAAGAACAGCTCGTAGGCTAGTGTGGATTTTAGTTTAGAGTGCGCATCAGTTCCAACGGTGCGAGTACATACAAAGTCTTACTCCCCCCCCCCCCCCAGAGCCTGCAAAGGTCAAAGTCTACTTGGTGGGACCGGTTGAGCAGTACTCTCCTGCCACTGTCGTGTAGTGATTTGCACTTTTCGAAACTACGCTACTTTTTCGGCCGGGACTCACCTAGGCTTCCCCGAAGTGAGTGCCTGGGCAGAAGAAGCCCCGAAAGCCTCGGACTATCCCAACGTGCCTGCATACCATATTCACTCGAGAGCCGCGCTACAGTGGACGCTCTGAGACCGGCGAGACTCGGCCATCTCCCACCTTGATAGGGGCAAGTCACTAGAATACCCGAACTTCATCCAGAACACCGGCCCAGTCGTCCCACACATGATTGGCAGGCAAACCCATTAGACATCTTGGACAGGCCCCAGCCACTAGTTGCGTGTGCCGGAAGGAATACACTTCCGCCTGTCGCAGACCAGCGGCCCTGATGCTTGCAAAGTCCTCGGTTGGGATATGCCTGTTTGGGCACCTCGGCTCATGCGACTGGAGAAAATTGGCCGTCGTGCTGCTGCTGTTTTACCACACAGCCCCCCCCCCCCCGACACCTGAGGTGCAAGTGAGTTTGATCCTTGGACAAGGTGCAGACATCTCCTGTGCGAGAGCTGTTCGTCTAGCCGTCCAATGCCGATTAACGCGATTCGTCAGGTCTCTGGTTATGGCGGATCGATGAGCATTTCCGCTAAACTATAATGTCGCAAAGGCTAGTAGAGGCAACGAGTGCCCAACCCAACGCACACTCGAACATGCACATACAGACGTAAGCCCTCTTCTAGCTGCCCTCGAACGAGCACGCCCAAGTAGCTTCACGACGACACGCTGTGGCTGTGTCAGGCCAACTCTCGTAGCCAAGTGCTGTGTGGCTCTCCTCACGAGCAGCATCGTCTTTTCCCAACGCGTGCAAACCTCATCACTGAAGGGATCTACCATGTTATCCGCGCCAAGGTCTGCTCGCCTGCGTCTCTGATGAGTAAGATGACTAAAACCAAGGGCGTAGAAGCATCATCCCGTAGCGCGTCTGACCCGCTTCGTGAATCCAATCCATCATCGACTATGCGAGTTCCATGTTCGCCATCGGAATCCACTAAACATAAGGGCTACAGAGGAGGCACATTCAATGATCATCTCGGCTCCATGGCCAACTCCTACACCGGTCACGACGCTTGCCATCCCAAAGTCAAAATCATATGAGTCAGAGGGTGGAAGTTTGTAGTTGGGCACGCGCCGACATCTCACGTGGAGACTACAATTGACCATCATGTAGCCCGAATCTAGGGGCATACGCCTATTCTTTTACCCAAGGTAGAGGGAGAGAGAGAGAGAGAGAGCGAGAGACAGGATAGATTTGTTTCCAGAGCTCATCAAACTAGTCTCACGCAGCGCTCCAGCTCAGCGAGTAATGAAGTCTACCTTTTAGCCGAATTAGCAATCATCTCTTGTGCCGCGTTATACCGTTGGTACTGCACTCACCAGTGGTTTCAGGCTTAGTATGGCAACACTAGCTTCAAATGGTTCAATGGATCCAAGCGGAATTTCAAGGCGGTCAAGATTGAAGTTCGGCCTTTCGCCTCGCCGACTACATTCTTTGAGTAGACTAGCATTAGCATCGTTTATTCATATCATGGCATAGTCGTCATGCCGAAATGGCAGATTTGCCTTTGGCAGGATTCAACGGCTTCCGCCAATACGGCAGGTTGAATCCGCGTCCGGTGCCGCGGCGAATCAGGTGTCTTCTGGCTTGCATTCAAACATTTCACCATGCCAAGCCGCTACGGAGCCCTAGATAGGGTTCGCGCACGCCTCGCTACAACATCCTTTCCCGGAAATTCCTAATCCCCTGCCGCCAATACGGCCTGCATTCCGGACCCACACCAAGGGTGGATCGCCGATCGCTATCATCCACATGACCTGGGCATCTTTCCGCCAGACGCACAGCCGGGTGTCGACCAGTGGCGCTCAGATAGCCAAGCAGCACCATAGCCCAATTCAAGTCGGCCCGCCCTCACGATATCTCTTGATTTGTTCGCGATGGCTTCCATGCATATCAAGCGGTGATACTAGAGCTTCGCCATACAGTCTAGATTTACGTATGTTGGTATCCCAGAGAACGAGGCGAGCCGGAGAGACCTTTTTTTTTGCAACAGAATTTGATTGCGTGTGCAGCCCGCTAGCTATGGCATAATATCGGAGAAAAGGTACAGAAAAGATAGCTCAACGTACAAGACCACTCTTTCCTTGGATCTCGTTTGCATGTACCACTGCGAAGTTATGGCGGCTTTTCCTTCACCCCCAAGTCAACCCTCATCCGTGAATACCCAGCCAGGGAAACCTCTCAAAACTCAGACTTGTCCAGAAGTGCCTCCGTCATCCATTATCTTTCCTCCGCGCGAAATGTGATCTTGGGCGTCTCCTTCCCAAGTGGAGTAGGTGCCCAGGCTACTCAAACTATACCAGAGAACACCACCAGGAGGCGTATCACGGCACCATCCATCCTTGAATTGTGTTTATAGTCTCAGCTGCACTCTCGCAATCGAAGTCTTGGCGCGCACAAAGCTTAATTCGTAAAACTTTTGCCAAAATTCAAAATCACCTGCTCGTCGAGATTGTGTCCATGTTCCATGCCGTCTTGTAAACTTGTCCTGATCCCTCTCATGTCCATCCTAAAGAACTGTCTACCAGATTTGTGCGCCACGCTTGGCTTCCTCCGTCGGGTGTAAATATCGGCGTGGGCGTGTATCTGGTGAGGAGCCGAGGCCAGAGAAAGTCGGCAAGAGGTGTGGTCATTGGAATGAGGATGTACTAGGTCGTAC